ACTGTAAACTCAACACTTTTAGATCAAACATCAATCAAAGAACAGAAGAAAATGACTGAGCATTTGGATGGACCACGGCGCCGGCTGACCACTTTATAAACTCGGAGATTGAATGAACCCTTAGTGAAAGGCGAAGACCTCGAGGAAGAATGCACACATAGCGTCGAGTACAGCGGCATCATCACCATATATCTCATCAAGCTGAACCTCTGGGTCAAGAGAAGGAAAGAAACAAGCAAACAACTTATAAAGCGTTTTTGAGAATCGCGCAAAGTAAAATCCTCAACAATGCACCAAAAATATTGTTCAAGCACCCACTGTTAACATTTCCCAAACTTTGGACTTCTGCAAATTATACGCGAAGTGTCCGATTTGACCGGACAAGTGTCCATGTCTAGATTAATACGGTTTTTAGTAAAAGTGGGGTGGGCGCACCCCTGGTATTTTACGATAGGTAAACCAATACCTGCATGGGGACACCGACATTGAAACAATGTATATCAGCTTGACTCAGAAGAAAATGAGTACTCCTGCTTCAAGTGTCAATGGGACCAATATTGAGCTTGCCACAAACAAATCAGAACATGGTGTAATAACACCAAAACACAACAATAAAAAACAATGCAGACTATGCATCACTACTGAAAGATAAAAGTATGTCCTTCCTCTGAATTTTGCTTGAGCGACGCTCAGCAACTTGAACCACAAAGTGCTGACTGCGAAAATAGACAGCTGGAAGCATGCTGACCCCATACACAAAGAGTCATGCCTCAGAAAATTTTTTTATGAAAACCTGTGATGTGGACACTCATCTCGATTGTGACATGGAAGTCAGCAGTGCGAAAGAAAAGCAGAAATTAAAGAAATGAGGAAGAAGCAGCGAGCACAATGAATGAAAGCAACAAAAATGCCTAATGACAATTTTGGCACACGCACAAAATTCAGAAATAACGAAGAAAATGACTAAGCAAAAAGTGTATGCTGCAAAGGATGATGTCTCAGCAACAAGAGGGGAAACCAAAGAAATAAGTAGGAAGGATAACCAGGGGTAACAGAGATGCTTCGTTTCCAAGCTGTTCTCATGCTACAAAAAGCCTTCCAAGGTATCTGAATATGCCATGCCTGATTGGAAGAGCACAAGAGATCTTCCTTGAAATTCTTAAAGTGTGAAAGGAGATTAAGAAGTTGAGATTTAAGAGACATGACAACAATGAAGTGGACAAGAAAGAAGTGAGCAATGGAGACTGGCAGAATGGAGCTCTACTACAATGTAAATACTGTACAATAAAACATCATTAATTAAGTTGTAACAATGGGAGAAAAGGTAAAGTAGTAAATAAAAACAACACATGAGAAGTGAAAAAAAAATTGAAAGGGGACACATTAACTAACCAAAATAGAAAATTGGTATCCAAATGCCCCACCATTTTCCAAATTATGTTTTGGAGTGTTTTCCACTATGAAGTGTAAGGGTGCGGCAAAAGGGAGTGTCCCTTCCAGCAAGGATGCTAGATCCTGCTTGCTCCATTCAGCTAACAACCCCTTACCCTGGCAAATAGCGAGCCCTTGCCGAGCAGATTCCTGCATCCCTCGTTAGATACGAGCAATCTTTTCGTGCGCCACGAGTAGATCTGAAGCCGGCGGAGCACTTGTCGAGCGGTTCTAATTGATCCGTGGGAAAGTGGCGGAGCGCGTCGAACAAGCTGGAGAAGTTGTCTGCACTGCCATTTTTCGTACGAGTTTCATCCGTAGTCACTCGCAACATTTCAGTTTCAATATATGCTTCAGCAATGTTGTGGCAGTCATGAAAACGATTGCATCAGTAGCACTTTACAAACTTAAGTTATGTTATGAGAATATCAGAAGGACGCAGTGCTGTTACAAGCCCCGTTACAAGCTGTTCGAAGGTCAGCAAAGCGCCATGACGCAGTGGCCAGGTGTTGACGTCCCCACCAAACAATGAGAGTTGCGATCAAGATGTGTAAAAAGTCACTTTTACTTGGGGGTACGCTTATTATTCGGCGGGAAAGGTATGTCGATCGGTAGCCTTATAGACCGACACGCTGTTTACAAACAAGCCCGCCTTTGCCCACACCAGGTGTGGGCATTGCGCGTGCGCAGAAACCGGATTTGGGAGGAGTGAAGCGTCTGCGCATGCGCTGTGCCGCCGACAGCGCCACCGCAGCTGCATGACGTCAGGGCCGCGTGTTGGTCTATAAATAGGGTTCCGTGTTTTCGGATAAATAAAAAAAAAAACTGAATTTCGAGGTAACAGTGCAAACGAAAAAGAAAAAAGACTTGTAAATAAACCTCACAAGACCCCAAAGTCAGCGGTCCTGAGGAAATGCGACTTCAGTTTCCTTCGAAAACTCGAACTACTGACAAAAGGGGTTTGTCTTTAAGCTCCTCAATGTTCCTTGAACTTTTTAAACATTGGGAACAAAGTAAAATAAACTCTGAATTTAAGAGAACTGGGAATCCAACAAAAATAAACTCCGATAAACCTCAAATTTTCCGTGAAAAATAAACAAAAAATATATCCCTTGAATTTCACGATAAAGAGACTCAGAAAACACAGTATCCTGCTTATAAGCATAGGCAGTAAATACGAGCCGCACTCGCCCAGCACAACGGCTTTTGTGCTGCATGCAGGGCTGGTGAGGCATCAGAGGGCGGTGGCGGTGGAAAAAACAGTCTCAACAGCACCATATAAGCGGTGGTGGTGGCCACGCAGCAGAAATGCTGGTGAGCAGTCGCTCCACCACCTAGACTGGATGCTCAGACTCCCAAATCTAGGCTTCACCCCTCCCCTTCTAATGACACCTGGAACAAAATCCATATATAGCCGGTGACAGGTCGAGAACGAAGTGGAAGTTCCTCCCACCACTTTCCACTTCAGCGGAGCGAACGGCGGAGAGGAGGTCGCCTCCTTTCCAGCTATCGCTCGACTAAAGTGGAAAAAGGTGGGAGGAGATTTCACTTCGTTCTTGACCTGTCACCGACTATACACCAACTCATGTTTACAAACAAACCAGAGCGCCCCTAGCGGATGCCACCGGCGCCGCGCATACACAATGGGGGTGTGGGCAAGAAGCTCGCCGTCGCCCATAAACAAATCATTGAAATGCGATGTTGTCGGCATTGGTGTCAGTCCCCCTGCCCTTTTCCGCGTTCGAATTGTTGATTCTACCTCTTCCTGGCAATGTCTGACTACTTGAGTGGCACCAGCGACATTAACGAGGCTCGTTACACAGCAAAACTTCGCGTGAATAATCTGACATGCGGTGATTCATTCCGCGTGGACGCCGCAGAATGTATGCTAAAGCCTAATTCGCATGATGAGATTTCGCTCGCAATGTTCAGTCGCGACGACGTTCGGGCTGCAAAAGCGTGAACCGTAGCCGAGATGGTCGACGTCGATACTGAAAATCTCACGCAGAATCGAACCAAGTGAATCCGGCATAACAAGTCGGTGATAACCACGGGTAACAATTATCAATATCTCCTTGTATCTACTGTTTGCATCGAGCCTGCTTACCAACCTTCAAACTTAAGTCTTTTGAGGCCCGCATTTACTTCTTATCGCAAGTACCGAACCCATGTTTGGTCTACGGGCCGGTATCGTCTAAAAGAGCAGACGACAAGCAGAAACTTCTGAAAGAGCATCGAGCCTGCTTACCAACCTTCAAACTTAAGTCTTTTGAGGCCCGCATTTACTTCTTATCGCAAGTACCGAACCCATGTTTGGTCTACGGGCCGGTATCGTCTAAAAGAGCAGACGACAAGCAGAAACGTCTGAAAGAGCAGACGACAGTTCGAACGATCATGCGGCCGTTTGCATTTGAAGACGCACCGAGCGTAGTCCGCAGGTAGGTTATACAACTTGACGGTTTTCCGGCGTTCATGTTGTAACAAAACAAATATATCTGATGACCACAAGTATCCATGAATTCAACCCAAAGTGCTTCCCGCCCAAGCAATCATGGTCCGACAGCGTCTGCTTTTCCCTTTTCACGGCACATATTAACTATCTCAAACGAACCAAGCACACGAAAGCTGACCTTTGAACCTTTCTCAACTTTTTTGGTACAGCCCCAATCGCGGCATTTTAACGATAAGGCAGGGTTTTGTCCAACTCCCTTCAAAACAACGCAGGAATATGCGTCTCACATGGGGACTTCTGCCCACAGCCCCAGACCAAAAGTGCGTACGACGCGCCACCACCACCCTGACGTAACAGAGATGAGTTTGTGTATACACGTTTGCAAGTCCGGCTTCAGGGAGCTGCCATCTTGCCTGTCTGGGGTGCGCTTGGACCAGTTATAATCCGATTACGAAGCCTTGCTAAGGCGTCGTAATCGGATTATGGCCTCTCCCGAGAGCGCACCCCACTAAGGAAGATGGCGGCGCCCTGAGACCGGACTTGCAAACGTGTATATGTGGCTTGCACATGACGTCATTTCCGATGCCCTCCAGAGAAAAGGGAAAGGAGCTCCGCTCTTATCACAATCCTCCTTTGTGCCTCAGGGATAGGCACAGAGGTCCCTGTTCTCCTCCCAGAAGATTATAGAAGATTAACCCGTCACTCAAAATTCTTACAAAAGCGGCTTCCCTCTCCTTCTTTTACATGGTGTTCAAAAGTATGTGATGTGACGTCAGTGCAAGGAGCCTATTGGTAACACATTTCTTTTTTCTTTTTTTTTTTTAATCGTGGATTCTGTATTGAGAATAAAGATTTTTTTTTTTTTTTTTTCCTTCTCCACACAGGGGCCGACGGCGACGGGTCAGTTCTCTGACTGGAAGACGAGTAATGGCCGCATACGTGTGTAAATTGCTAAAAAAAAAAAAAAACTCTTCTATTTATTTATTTATTTACCTAGAGGCAACGTTTACGCAGTCGACGGTCTGTTTTGCCGACGAAATACACAGTGCAGTTGTCCTATGTGACAAATTTCGAGAAACCGCACCAACAAACACTAGAGCCTTGAGCCGTCACTTACCTTAGCGCTCCCGCTATGGAGTGACGGACAGCGCAGTTCGGGTCCATGAGTAAAGGAGCCGCCGTCCTGATGACAGAGGCGTCCACGAGTGACCCGCATGATTCCGAGTTTTTGGCCAAGTTGGCCATGATGCAAGCGGCGCATTCCCGCTCTTCCACATTGCCACCTTGGAGCTGGAAGCACGTGCGAAGTTACTAGAGTGAAAACAAAAGCGCGCCAGGAGTCGAACGGGCTACTGTCAACAAGCGTGCCTATGCCCCAATTACGTTGCAAGGTCACGAAGAACAAAGTAAATGAGTTGACAATACATACTTCACTGGCTCTCAAATGCTTTTTTCACACGAACCTAACAAGTGGATACCGCCGTCACATGGCAAAACGGCTCAAGTCTCGGGGCAGGCGGCGTTGCTCGGGGCAATTCCAGTCTCACCATGTTTCCTCGCCGGAGACAAGTTTATAAAGAAAGCTCACTTAGAACAAAAATATATGTCTCCTTGATTGCCAAAGAGCTTATATTAGACACGTGGATATGATGCCACTACTTTACCATTTCACGAAGTTCGTCGACGGAGTTTTCAGTGTCGTCAACGTGAAGTTCCTGTTCTTCCATATCTCGATTACTCGGCACCCCAATGGGGTTACTGGTCCGAGTTTTATGCTTTCTTACTTTTGCCTTACCCATTATTTTTCACACGGACACAGGACGACACGAATACAGAGGAAGCACGACTACACACTACAACACATGCCTGACCCAGTCGCGGCCATTACCAAAAAGGACTTGACGCTCTTCAAACAAATTGTATGTCGCCATAGGTGGCGCGGTAAGATGAACCGTTAAACCGTTAAATATCCTTAGTTTAATCAAAAACATTATAAATAAAATTATTTAAGCATTATATTGCTTTATTATTTAATATATATGCATATCTTTTAGTTAATAAACAATTAGGATACAACATGAGGAGCAACCGAGAGAGGGTGTAGAACAGTAATCACCAGAGTTGCTCTGTTTCGGTTTCGGTCTGAGTGTGTATCTCAGCATCGCTGTTTAATGGAGTTAGGGGCGATGCCTTTACGTGTTTTATACTCCATCTTAGAAGTTCTGTACAGGGCAGTGGAAGCTGTATTCAATTCCGGTCAATCGGCAGAGCGAGCACATGATATTACTACGCGCTTCAACTTTCTTTTCTACACACACACGTCAAAGTGCTTACCATAATATGTACTGATACACTTTTTTTAATGCGTGTAGTTTGCGCCATTATTACGTCAAAAGATCATTTAACTCTATCATTTACCTCTATATTTGAGAAGTTATTTAGACGTTCAATTGTGGGCGGTTCCCTAATGTCTGAAGGTAAGCTCGTGCCCTTTGCTATGGCTAGCGCGTGTGGCTCTGATGAATGATGTCACCATTTGACCGGCACTAGATCACGTGGCTGCTTGGCTGCGATTTGGGGGGGGGGGGGGGGGGGGGGGGGGATTGAACCCTGCTCGTGCACTCTAAAAAAAAAAAAAAAAATCCCGTGCGTCTGCTTTCCTGCACAACACTCGGTAAGCCAATCACCACAACTTACGGAGGCAGCTCAGCGAATGACGATGGCTAAACTTATGTTTAGACCAAAAAACGCAGACTGAGGTATGACATTAAGGCATGCAAGCGTGACGTTTTGCATTGCTTAACGTCACAACTCAGAGTGCATTTTTTGGTCTAAACATATGTTTCGGCATCGTCATTCGCTGAACTGCCTCCGTAAGTTGCGCTGATTGGTTCTCCGAGTGTTGTGCGTGAGAGTAGACGCACATACTTTTTTTAGAGTGATACCCGTCTGTTCTTTCTGCTGTTTAATCCATTTCAATAATTGGCACTGGTTCTAGCGAACTGTGCTAGTCTGTTTAAGAAAATATCGTTTAGGTCCTTGGTGTGAAGCATTTCAGTGAACCGAATGAATATTGCATGATCTATCATCTACGTTTTCTTGCATTGATTGTTGCCATGCTCACTGGACACCCCAGGAGCCCTAATCTACACTGTGGCACCAAAAGGGATCAAGGGACCGAGGCATTGCCGCCTGCTACGATTGGTCAACGGCGCGGAGCTGGCCAATCGCAGCAGGCTCGATGTCCCGGTCCCTCGGTCCCGCCGTGTAGATTAGGACCCCAGGTGTGCTCACTGTATCAACGGATAAAAGCATATTTCTGCTTTGGTAAGGAATGGTTCTTTTAATCTTCGATTTTATGTCATCGCACACTTTACGTACTTCTTTTTCCCACTGTCCGGGTGGAGGGGGGAGGTTCAAAAAAAGCAAAGCATTACAACATGTAATATGTAAGAAATCACAAAAAATATAAATAAATAATAATAATAATAATAAAAAGAAGAATGAGTAACCGGTGCAGTTGAGGTTTGGTTCAGACATTGCGTCGGTTGAATCAACAGCAACCGAAACGACAGCAATGATCGGGACACTGGGAAAGTCGTGGCTCATGACTACGTCCCGAAGTTGCTTTTTTTTATTTCATGTTGCATTGTGTCGTGCGGCGAACACTTGTCTCGGTGGCTCGGAGGTTGCTGTCGTTGGTCTCTTTGAACACAACTAACGCAACTGTCTGAACCAGGCTTGAAACGTGAACACCTTCCAGAACCGTGGCAAGAGCAAAACCATGAGTAAAACAACGTCTTCCAGCATACTGGAAGTATCGTCATCCAAGACTGCAGCGGCAGCGCAGGAAAGGTTTATAGAAAGACGATATTCATGCTTTGAAACAAGAGCCTCTTGTTAAGGCGGGACAGTTAATCGAGAGGAAAAAAAATATACAGGAGACAAACACATTTAATGATAATGAAATGCAAAGTTTAATAATGAAACAAACGAGCACCGTCGATAGCTACGAGGTCTGAATGACCTGGCATGACTCACGCACACACTGAACCCAGTGAAAGAAAGTCAAATGTGCACTTCCAAGCCCGACTCCAGGACAAAGAATTAGCGCAAGTTGTCGGCCTGTTATGTCTAGTGGGCCGGGCGGGAAGAGCCAGACCTCCAGGCAGGTTACTTGCGTCAAAATCATGCAGAAAGGAGTGATCAGAGTTGTTCACTATAATTAGGATTCCGTGTTTTCGGTATTTATTTTTCTTCAAATTGAGGGGATGGTTTTTATCGGTGTTTAATTTTTCCCCTTTGAATCGGAGTTTTTCAGTGTCTAATTTCAATACCGGAGAGAAATTGGTGTATATTGGGCTTGTGTTGTAATGCCACTGTATAATTACTGAAGGAAATATTATAATTTATAATTTATAATTCATAAATTATAATTCATAAATAAGCACAAACCGTCTAGAAAGAAAAAAAAAAAAAAAAAAAAAAACAACAACCGCATCTCCACGTGGTGAATGATGTTGATTGGGGCGAAGCTCTGGTGGTGCTCGTCTGCGTAGACGCTGAGCCGCAGCATGCCGAGCCTTTCGTTCGTTTTCATCCCTGTCACGCTGCGGTCAAATGCTCAAATGCGTATATAACCACGTTCCATACCAGACATTCTCTTTCTGACATGGATGAAAACGAACGAAAGGCTCGGCATGCTGCGGCTCACCGTCTACGCAGACAAGCACCACCAGAGCTTCCCCCAATCAACATCGTTCACCACGTAGAGATGCGTTTTTTTTTAACCTACACGAGCACGAGAGCACGTGCTCACGTGCTCGTGAGGACGTGAGCGCGTGAGCTCACGAGCAGGAGCACGTGCACCCGACGGCGGACGGACATACGGACATGGCTAGCCCCTAAGGAGCTTCGCCCCTAAAAAGCACTACGCTTTGTTTATGACAGGTACGACAAGCCAGCGTCTATTTTCTGTTCATACGAACTTTCGGGCTTACCTGAACTTGAAATTCGCAGAAAAATTAGCCGCCTAATGTTTGGTAAAATTCTACTTCCATTTGAAAATACATGCAATACAACACGATGAGACCGACCCGAAACAAACATGACAAAGCCATAATAGTCCCACAAACTGAGAAAGACTCTTTTAGATTTTCTTTTCTTCCTCGCACCATCAACAAATGGAATAGTTTACCAATAAACATAATTAACCAATCAACAACTCCTGCATTTGTCGCGGCTCTCACAAAACATTTGCTGCCTTAGATAAGTATGTTGTCTGCTTTAAGGTGCTTTTAAACTGTCGGTTGTTGCGCTTTTCTTGTATTCATTACCTCATGTACTACTGTATTGCCTTTATTTAATATCGTGTTGTTGTTGTTCTTTTCTATTTCTGTCTTGTTTTTCTTGTATTTTGCTCAAGCAATGCTCACCCTTATTTTGGCCACCTTGTAGGTGGCTGGCAGGATTATCAAATAAATAAATAAATAATATTTTCTCCAGTAATGCTGGTAAAGATAAGGGAAGGAAACGGTGCAAGGAATGTGGTTCCGATAGAAAGGAGCAACCCCCAAAACAGTTCAGTGCGGTTGTGTTGCGGTCGAAAAAAGTAGGTTAGACTATTTCTTTTGGTGAAGCTGGCTTCCCCCCCCCCCCCCCCCCCCCTTTTTTTTTTTTTTTTCGGTTTGCACCGATTCAGGAAAAAACACTTCTGGGGTAAATTTTCGGTGTTTATCGGCACATACCGAAAACACGGAACCCTAACTAGTCTATAATCGATACGCACCTTCGTACTCAGATCGAATCAGACCTAAGTAGCGCGTACCCAATGAACATTTTCTGATACAGGATAAACTGGCATGGCTGTTTAGGTTTGTTTTTGACAAGACCGGGCGGTCATTCCCTTTGCAAATAGGCATCACCCTTGCTAATTCATATTTATTTTATTAAATAAAACTATTTCATGTTCTACTCGACATGGCAACTACTTACTTTATCCCTTTCTGACGGTCCGCGTGCGCAATAGTCGTAGTTTTGCCATGCGCCCCTGTGTACTTTGTTTTTGTACAGCCCACAGACACTTCAAATTGCTGTTCATCACAAAAAAAAAAGAGGAAATAACAGACATCTATATGTTTTAGAAGTTATATATTATACCACCCCTGCCCGTTTTGATCTGGATGAGCATCGTACAGGCGTGCGGTCGTGTATCACTACTGCGTGGTGCACAATTTTTTCAAAGTCTTGGATTTGGCTGGAAATCGGCAGACCGCATCAATACCCCTTTCTCAACTGATCGCCAAAATATTTCATAAAAATACAAAATAAATAAAAATTCCGTGAAGTTTTTGCATTTTTAAGTTACGCTGGCCACGAGGGTTCTAGAAGGCGACTCTCTACTGACGACAATGAAAAATCCCTACTTTTCCCTATCCGTGTACAGTGTACTACGTCACCGGCGGACAGGCGGACGAGCCCACGGGAAGCCGGTCAGCGGCCCTCCGGGCGCCAGCAATCGAGATTATTGATTAACAGCTTCAAGTTTGAAAGTTCCTTTTCAATGGACAGCAATCTGTGCTCCTCGGTAGACTGTAGGAACTGTGCCCGGAAAAGCATTTTTACCCTTGATTTTGTAGGGTAAAAATGCGCTTCCCGGGCAGCAGTGGGGGTGCATCACGTCGAGGAGCATTTGCGCGTGCTGTGTGCCGAGAGAACTAGCGCCACCTGAAACAGTCTCACTCATGCTGGGTATATTTTATAGCCGCGTGCTGCGAGTTGAGTATCCTTCAGCAGCCGGAACAGCTTCAAAAGCGACAAGCGCTAACTCAAGCCGGCTGCTACCACTACAACATCCGTCGAAAGAGGAGCGCTAATAATATCGAGAAAGAACAGAGCACATTCTAGTATTATAGTCGACATTTGGCGCATTCACATTTGTTCGCAATTGCTTCTATGATTTTTTTTTTTTTTTTCATAAGCACTATATCCGTTTTGGACATGGCATCTAGCTGTGGCTACTCTCGGAGGTCCACTCACGCGGCCGATCTGTTCAAGACGAAAAGAGAAAGGTTTAAACAAAGTTCAAGTCTGAGTTTAGACACGACTTTCGACACACTGCTATTCGTCTCTGGTATTACTGAGGTTTAGGGAGCAGGTCTTGAACTCCATTAATATACGATAGAGCCGTTGCCTGGTTTGTCAAATGGTTGGCGTGCAATATTCTCTCGCAGAAGAGGTGGTGAAAAGGACTTTAATATATTATATTGCGGAGAAATGCTATATAGGGCCGAAAAGTTTTTAAAACCATGAAATTATTAATGTCGTTGAGGGGAGGCATATACATTTACAGCTGATGGAGGCTGTGCAAAACCAAAACGTATTTTTTAAAAATTTATATAGAATTGCAGCTTTCCAATGTGCACTCATGAATGAGTGTTTGAGCGCGATGCATTCTACTCCGACAGCAAAAAAAGAAAAAGAAATATGGGTACAAATTTTTCTTTGAGTAACTTTTGTTCACTTATTTTTAATTAAACATTTTACGATGCATTTTTCTGCTTTACGCACTACTGTACCTTCAAGCAGACATTATTTATTTGAAGATGAATAGTGTATGTGTTTTATACGCCTTCCATTGCACCTTAATGTTTGGCTTGGTGGTTAAGGAGTTCTTTTAATTTTTATTTTAGCACGATCTTCATGAACAGTAACCTGCCATCTGACCTACACGAAGGCCATTCATTCCACTCTGTGCATTTCAATGTTTACGAAGATCACGGTCTGCATATGTTAGGTCACAGCCGAGGACGCGTATGTTCGCCGCTTTGGAGGGCGAGCAAAGTTACGCGCACACGCACGAACACCGAAAATGGCACCGACCAGAAGCACTTTCTTGGAATGGTTTATAGATATTTTGCTAAATTACTTAATGGGGCCTTTTTTACTGGTTTTTGAGCTGCACCGAACCTGAGCGCACTGAACGTAGTAACTTAAGGAAACTTTTCTTCTCTCGAATTTCGCTTTATTTTAAAAGTTATAGGCAAATTAGAATGACAAAAACAAGCAAAAAATAACCTCCTTCATGATGTCCTTGGTCGCTTGAGTGACCGTGAACTAGAGGAGGGCTAGTGAACTCAGCGAGCGCTCACGGCTGCCGCACTCCGTATTGACGGCTAGAGAGGGCGCCACTAAAGAATGTTCTTGATAGGCTGTATGAAGCGGGCAGCCAGGGCGGCTCGCATTGCATTTGCTGAGTAATTAAACACTAATTCGACATGACATGACACTTCATTGACCACAAACGACAGCAAACGCGGGGTAACAATCCCTTCAGAACGAGAGCCACTTCGCGCTGCCATTCCGCAAGCGGCCAAACCGCAAGCCAAACCTGTTCGCCGAAGGCCTTCGGAACGCTCGGAACCGGTCGGATCCTTGAGCCTGTATACGACCGCAGCGCCGCCGCGTACATCCGGGACCTTTCTACGCTCGCTGCTCGTCTGTGCCTGATCTTACTACCACTTTCCAGTATGCGCCACCCTTTTCACCGCTTGGAGGCGCGGGTATGTCGACGGGTCATTTTTCGTTTCCGTGCTTTGTAAACTGCATTTGTTTCTTTTGTGGTGTAAAATACTGAACAAAAACTACTTTCATGAATTATTGAAACAGTTCGCGCCACTTATATTTTGTATTTCGGCTAAAAAGAAGTTTTTAGCGGCTCTGACTAATATAGTAAGCCCCGACCAAAGACTTCACATATCGCGCGCTTTCGGCACCACGGGTCGCCCCCGTAGGTAGGGGAGGTGTGGGGGAGGTTTCCGCCTTGGTATGACGCACTGATATTTAGTTACTCTCTCCGTGTTCACTGGCTTGCCCGAACCCCAAGAGATGTGGAAACCGCAAAAACGGTAGACGTTTAAATATGATTGCAGAGCCCCTTTAAGCACTAAGGATCATATGCACGCTGTAAGAGTAGTTACACGTGCTGGCGTCTGCAATATGTTTTTCTAAAAAAACATCTAAAACCAAGGGCACGTTCCCTCAGGTAAGACGAGCGTGTGGAGCACCTAGCTGTACCCACATTCGGAGCGGTCTCCGTGGTGCTTGGGTAATTTGAAAAAGAAAAAAAAAATGTATTGCGTGACTCCTCGATCTTTCTTCGCCAGTGTAACTGGCAGCTTCTGATGGAGGGGGAACAAATTTGCTAGCGATGTCACGAAACTAGCGAGCCACGACTTGAACGTACCGAGTTGCAAAAACGGTTTTCTCAAAATTCCAATTGCAAGCGTTTCTTTTTACATTTTTTTTTTACTTTTTTTATAGTTTAGCGCGTAGGCCAAGGTCTTACTTTGTTCAACTAGATTATTATCAACTTTAGATAGCACGAACGCCCCCTGTTTTCTCGATGTTAGACGCGGGCATGGCAGCCACGAGAGTAACCGATTGATGGCCGCGCTCCTCGCTGCCCGTCGGTGACGTCATGTTTGGATAACGGGAAAAAACTGGGGAAAAGCTGGGGAAAACGATGTTTCGGTTTCGACAGAGAACAAATACCCCTTTTTTTAAATTAACTAAAGTGTATCTGGGGGAACGAGATAGCATTTCGGAAACAGGAAGCCATCCGCATTCAGATGATGCCTTTAGATTAGCTAGCTAGAAGAATCGTCGGAGTTCCCCTTTATAGACCCCAGGCCAGCGGTTGTACTGCAATGGCTAAATTGCTCATCTACAGCTGACAGACAAGTCGCTCGTTGAAGGCAGACTAACTTCAAGGCTGTATGCATATACCCACAACCATTTTTTTTTAGAAGTTATATATGTGTCAGGAATGCATAGTTATTTAAATCAGCTCCAAAATCATAAAATTGTTTAAGGCTCTCCCAAATAACTTATACACGTGCTTATCGAGGATGAAAACGTCGGAAAAGATTTGCAGAGAATCTTTCAGATAATTTGGGGATAGATTTATTTATGATGTATGTCTTTAAGGTGATCGACCCTTTATTTATGTTATCAAAACTTCTGTGAAAATTTTTTTTATTATCATCAATAAATTTGACTGTATGAAGTTCACATAAACGCTTGAGACCGACACGGCAGGTCGATACACGAATATACGCCTACGGTTAAACCAAACTGCCGAAACGTGTTTTTTTTTTTTTTTTTTTTCTGTTTGGCAGTGTGAAACATTGGGTCGCGGGGTACATCAAAAAGGACTCTCTGCTCACATGATGGATCTGAAAACAAATACACGAAATATGAAGAGAGGGATAATAAATGGTATTTTTCAAAATAATCCGATACACAATGCCTTACTACAAAAATAAATACAGAGATGTAATATTTCTAATGACACATAAATAGCGCGAAGGACAGACAAAGATTCTTATACTCCTAACATAAAGCACATTTGGGCATCGGCTAGCTTCCGTGTATTTTGACACATTTAACCACATTACCACAGAAGGATATTGCGAATCGCCATCTGGTGATTTGTATGGAATTCCCAAAAATCCGGATACACTGGGATCTCCAACTTCCCCCCATCCCTTAACTCAAAGGTAAACAACAAACGTTTTTTATTTACTATGACACAACCAATTTCGAGAAGCCTGCACATTCACGCTCCTTAGAAACCAAAAAACAAAAAAATGACAAGACCAGCGCAGGTGCGTTTGCCAAAGTGAGGATTACCGTCGAGGCTTGAGCACCCTCTTATCCGCCGATTGAAACATCGGAGATCGTCTCATTTCCTTGGACGTTAGCAGTATTAGCGGCAGTGCGTTACAGGTGACGCTGTTACCGGTAATGCGTTACTTTTTCGGTAACGTAGCAACGTACTCGTTACGTTTCTTCTTAAACAGTGACGATCGAATGACGTATTTCCGTTACTTATTTCTAGTTACGTGTAACGTAGATACGTCGTTACCTCTACCCAAAACATAAAAAAAAAAAATTCGTCATATTTTTTAAATGCTTTACACACCTTCAAAATCAAAACCGTAAAAAAGATAAGTATTTATGTTAAATTATGCATAAACAGAGCGTTTCTTGAGATATGGTGCTTATGGTTCATAAAAACGGCTCAGGGTTTCAATTCATTAGTAAAAAGTAATGTGCGTTACTTTTATCGGTAATCGTAACGGTAACTCGTTCCCTTTATTTTGTGGTAACGAAGGTCGGTAACACGTTCCTTTAATTTGCAAATCACGAGTAACGTATTTCGTTACCTTTTTTTCTTTAACTCCTTCAACACTGGACGTTAGTGCCGCCAAGATACTTCGTTGTGTCCCGACCACGAGACGCCGAGAATCTGAGACGAAGAGGACGAAGGAGCCACAAGCGCGAGCGCGAGATCACGTGTACCGCGGACCCAGCGCCTCATTTGGAACGAGGGCAGTCACAGGAGTCGGACGCAGGTTCGGACCCGCTGGAAGCTCACGAACAGGCCAGCAGTCCCGAAGAGGAAGCGACGCCCTTGGCCCGCCTTGCTGACATCCAGGGGGAGTCCGCGTTCCCGTTCGGCGTCCGACGTCGCCTGCCCGCGAGGTTCCGGCCCGCTAGCAAGCAGCCGCCCATCCGTAAGTAGACCGAGGTCCCATGCCAAGGCCGCCTAGGCCGTGGCATGATAGGCAGGCCCGAGTCTAGTTTGTTCGATTCAGACGGCTTTCTCGGTGTCAGAGGTGGATCTTCCAAATTCCCGGTTGGAGAGCGCGCAGGGCCAAGCGTTCGGCGTTCGAACGCCAGGCCTTGCGCGAGGACCAGACGACGCTCTTGTTCTCTCCGATTCAAGGGAGGTAGTAGTGTAAGCGAGCGCCATTGGGTTTTGGCCATTTTATTTTATTTCGCCGGGCGCATTCCTGAAGTCGCCTATAGGAAGCTCGGAGGGCACGAAGGTTGTGTTCTCGGGAAGCTTGTATTTACACTGACTCCTCAGCATCAAAGGTCTCACACGTGGATTCCCGCGACATGAAGGCGCGACTGGCTGGCGTCAGGCCAGATGCAGCCTTTCGTTACAGCCCGGCGAGACCAAGCTCCGCGGGAGAACTATACGGCAGTCTACTTGCGGTACTCAGAGCGAGAGCGTTGTGCGATGGTGGTATGCGATCACCATAGTTTCCATCATGTAACCTAAATTTGTACTTCTGAGAATATAAAACCAAGTGTTTCTTTAAAAACCAAAAGCCCAGTTGTCAAGACCTCGTTTGTATTCCAGAATATATTTTATTTTAGACTAGTTTGTTAACAGTAGGGAGAGAGGAAGGCCTTTGTACCATACCCACTGACCCTCCCAATCAGAGCTCGGCGCTCTGACATCGCTGCATGCTCCTCTCCCTCAGTTTATCTCCGTACAGCGGATATATAATCTCAGTGAATACTCCCTATAGGTTGTATTCCATGGACACCATATTTGAGGACGCTGTTTAGAGCGCATGATCAGCACGAGCTCAAAGTAATAGGCTGCTAAGACCGGGAATCCTGATGGTGTGGAATGCTCATTGCAAAGGAACTGTGGAAGCTCGCCGTCGGCACGGGCTCAGCAGTTCTGCACACAGCTATGGCCGCCATTGAATACTCCCTATATCACTAGATCTGTGACAATCATGTAATCGATTCGTACTTAAAAATAAAAAAAAATTATTCGACATATGTAGCACAACTGCGGTCATTATTCTAATATTACTTTTGAAGGGAGCTGATAACGTAATTTCCTATGTTGCGCCGGATGACGAAAGTGGGTTTCATTTTTGTTTTTGCGTGAAAGAGTTTAAAGGACATCAGCCTGGCAACAGTTTAAAATGTCACCTCGCACGTCTCGAGACCGACTGTCACGGTTCCCGTGTATTCTTGCAGAGAGACTTCGACTGTCCCCCGGTTTGATAAGCGAGACCGCTGCACCTAGGCCCAGACGTGAGACAGAGAGAACCTCGAGGCCCGGCGGACTGAATCCCTCTCATGGCACCCGCATCCACCAGCGGGGTAGGCGAGGGCGCCCCCATGGCGTCTGGCTCCCGAGTCCGGGGACGCAGAAGGAACAGGGCTGCTGCTTCCAGGAGCCGTTCCAGGTCGTCTTCCGCGACTCCGGCAAAGCGAAGAACGACGAGGCGCACCAGGCGCCGCCCGTCATCGCGCTCGAGGGCTAGAAGTGCCAGCGCCACGACTAGGAGGTCCAGGGCAAGGAAGGCGACGTCAGGGAAGAGCAAGAGGCGAAGGTCTAGACGCAGCAAGTCCGCAACTGGTCGGTCATCCCCTGCGAAGAACAGGAAAGCCGGGGCGAGCAAGAAATCTGCTGCGAAGAGGAGGTCCAGAAAGCGCAACGTGGCTGAGGAGTCTGGTGTGGCAAAATCCGCTTTGAAGAGAGCGTCGCGCAAAAAGTAACCAGTCCACCTTTGCAGGCTCCTGAAGATTGGAATCAAGGCCAATTTCGAGGCAAAATTAAAAAAAATGCAGCTTTCAATAATGCTCAAAATTAAAGTATTTATTTTCTACAATGCTCAACTGTGCCCTTAATTACCCGGAGGGCTTAAAAGGGACCATTAAAAGGTACTGAATATTCGAACTTTACTATTGGCGATTTTCACCGCATGTTTCCGAACCTACTTTACGGCTTCGACTTTAAACCACCAGGCGCTGTGAGTATCTGATTCGCTCGAGAAGGCTGGAGAGCGAACCTGCCGCCAGAGCTTTCTGTTCTAGCCGCTGGGTGCCGTCGATATCGCAAGAGTGGACAATACTCGGGCTCGGCTTTCTGTGGCATTTTAGCAGTGAAGAGTGCGCGTGCACACTTTTCATTGACGCTCAAGGTGTGCGAGCGAACGGGCGCCCACACACCTTTGGCTTCATTGCCACAAAAGGTTGGCCCTCAAGTATGACTAAATATCGCGTGGGAGACAAGCGATATCGTGGCAAGGAGCAAGAAACTTGATTTCCACTCAAATTTCGAACCCAAGAGCAGACTGCTCATCGTTCTTTCCAGCATTTATTTTTTTACTTTATCGTTATCCGCTCATGTCTAAACGGTTCCAGACGCGTGACCAAATGCTGCTCACGCAATGGACGTGACGCGAGCACTCTGTCTCTTCTCGACATGCGTTCGGTTACCCCTCGGCAAATATTCGATTTAGCGTTCAGAATTTTCATTATTGTAATTGCAGATTTGAAGGAATAGTATAGGCAGGTACAAGTTAAGAATGTGTCAGAAGCTCCGTCTCCAGCGCGAGCGTTCCGTGAGAGCGATTACGTACATCTTCAATCTTCTATAGCGGAAGCCCACACTGTCTAAAAGCTGACGGCCAGTCTAATATCCCCGTTGTGCAGTCGGAAAGACAATGGAATCTACGAGGAGACCTAGCGAGAATCCCGAAGGAACCTTTGACCTACACTCTTAGAAAAAAAAAAGTTAGTAGTACTTACTAGCAGAAAGTTAAGGCCCGTTCACACGATGCATTTTTCTCGCGCATCTAGTGTCGCAAAACGTAGTTTCGCGAAATGGTTGCGCCGACTGAACGAGTCCGAAAAGGACGCGCGCATCTAAAAAAAGTTGCGCGCACACCTCGCTTCTGGAGCGAGCTTTTGCTGAAACTTTGCCGAGTCCTGTCAGTCACTCTGAGGGCGCCGCCAATGGCCGCTCAGAAACGCCCTCACGTGGCCTTTGAGGGGAGAGCGAGCTGTTTGAGAAGACCACTTCACTGCCGGTGTTGTAGCCGAGCCAAATCCGAAAAAAAAACCGAAACCACGAACGATCGATGGATCCTGCCGGCGCTTCCGCAAGCACGTCAAGCACCACTGAAGGAAAAGTGAGTAGAGTATCGGAAAAAAATCCAGCGATGGACGAAGACGTAATTGGTGATGATGATAATTCGCGTCTATTTTTAGTCATAATTAAGAAATAAAACCTTGAGACAAGGAAACAAAAAGGGACGTACACAGTACCGTCTCAAAACCAGCACAGCGTATACAGCTCTCATTTACTTCCACAACAGTGTTCTTCTTTGTCAACCTCCATCCAAATTATACATATTCAACAGTAAACAATAGACCGATCTCACCAAGCGTTCGGCGCATACGTGACACCGCCATAACTTTAGTTCGCAGGAGACAAGCAGCAGTGCACGAGAGGGCTCGTGCTGTCTCGCACTCATCACGCGCAGAGCTCCAGCGAGGTTGTCGCACGTGCAGAAAGACTAAACTTCCCTCGGTGCATTGCGGCAGCGGTGGCGTAGTCAAACTGGCTGGTGAGATCGGTCTATTCAACAACTAGTAAATGACAATTTAAGAGTAAATTAAGTAAATAGAAGTAAATGACAGCTGTATGCTGTGCTGGTTTTAAGACGTTGGTGTGTATGTCCCTTTTTTGTTTCCTTGTCTTAAGGTTTTATTTCTTAATTATGATTGTTCACCAGCTCGCCTGCGTTTTGACTCTTAAAATGTGGCGGGAGATGGAGAACACGACGCTGAATGGTTAATGGTGATTATGATGACGTTGGCTTTCAACTGAAGCGCCACTTTATGGTCAACACCCAAACTATTTTCGCGAGTCTAAACGTCATCGTTGTTGCACGTGAAGCGGTACGTGTGAACGAGCACATTTCGCGAAACTTGAGTTTCGCGAAACTGTTGCGCGCCTAAAAGATGCATCGTGTGAACAGACCTTTAGCAACTGCATGTCAGAAGATTCGCCACTGCACTTACTAACGGTCAAGTTATACCCTAGTTCCACTAGCGCTCTTAATTGTCCTTCAACCAACAATCGTTGGCATCCCCAACTGTCATTTCAGCCAGCCGGTGCCACAAGCACGAGAGCTCGAGGTGGCTGCTTTGAAGCGTTCTTCCGGAGAGCGATCACTCTATCAACCTGACAGTGCGGTGGAAGCTATGCGCTTGTCGGACCAATCAGCCGCTTCCCTTTCATTGCCTGGCCGCATTCTCTGCGCGTGGGGGGTATGCACGAGGGAGCGTGATCACGTGGAAAAAGCGTGGCTGGCCCAACGAACATTTAGCTTCCACATCACTGTCATGTTAAGTCCAGCGAGTGTTCCAAAATGCGTCTTTCGTGCATCAGAACTCAAGGAGGAGCTTGCCAATCAGAGGGCAACATAGAGAACGCGTAGGAAACGCGCGATGACGAAGCAGCCAAGCGCGAGCCGTGTTCACTTCAGGTATAGGAGGGAAACTAAATCACTTGGAGGCGTTTGGGAGGTAAACAAACACACGAGGTGCAGATGGAGCAGGTGAACTTGCACGCTGTATTGGCGACGTGAGCGACCGAAAGCGTCGCTGTGGTCAACCGGCCATGATTGGCCGAATGCAGACTATGACGTCAGGAAAGGATTTCTCATCGACGAAAATAAGATGAATGTAAGAGCTTGAATTTTGATGGTGTTGGCACTGTCGTTTTGAGAGGGTAACGATTTCAAGCCTCCACATTGCTCATTGCAAACACCATCGAACTTGTTGTTCGCAATGTAATGACGTCACGAAAGGGAGCCATGGGAGGGCGCCGCCAAAACATCTCGCCGCTAATAGGAGACAAGTGCACAGATGAAGATAAGGTAAAACAGTGTAATATTTGCTTCTTTTATTTTTTTCTATTAGAGCGCAGCCGACACTACGAGCCAATGGGACCAACCAAACGGCGTCAAAGGCGCACGGGCATGACGTTCGTCATCTTTCTCTCGTGCTCGATCTATCCTCTGCTAAACCAATCAAGTTCAGTGAACGCACGGGGACTTGCGCTTTTAATACCTGCGTCGGTGGTTGTATGTCTTCGAACCTTCGACTGCGCTCTGACTTATGATTAGGGTTCGGTGTTTTCGCTAAATACCGACCAACCCCGAAAATTCACCCCCAAGCCGGTTTCATCGAAGTCGGGGAAAAGCGAAAAATGCCGAATAGGAGAGCCCCTGAATGACGGAAAGCTTGACGAAAAGAAAATCTTTAGCCCCAGCTTTATCGTGTGCTAAACCGGAACACACGCGATGCTTCGAACGACACATGTTTTCTCGTTTTTTTTTTTTTTTTTTTTCTTATCGGCCCGGGGACGTTTTCCTGCAGGTCAGGCTCGTATATGTCCCCTGGAGTCACCGAAATCCCACGCCTCTGTCCTTTTTTCGTCAACCCCTGTGGCGCTCTCCTGGTCGAAAACGCCTATCTTTCGAGTTGTGACGTGACTCGAACGTTGGGGCGGAGCCTTAAACTCAAAAGTCGAAAGGTTCTTCTTTACCTGCAGAAGTGGTCGCAGTTTTTGCGCGCCGCCGAAACGGTGTTTTGCTTAAAGAACTTGTTTATACGTTCTGGTACGTGTTGTACCTATAGTTTTTCCACCAACGGCGAGGTTGTGTCTTCCCCACGGCGGGTCATCGCCTGCAAATCTTCCCCCTAAACCAAGGGTCGTTGCATCCAGACACAGAAACCTACACAGTCAGCATAACCCCTAAGTGCACCTGTCAACGGGCAGGTCGTTTCGTAAATTAGACGAAGTGCCGTGGACGCGGATCTCGGGCTCAGGCCACGACGGCGGAGGCCGCGGATCATGTTCCAGTGGTCGCGGGGGCTGGCTGCTGGGGTCCCGAGCGCGCCAGAGGTTTACGCACAGACGTAGACGCAGGATCGGGTGAACCCCCCGGGGTGGTCCCCGTATGCATAGAATCCGGTGTGATCTTTCGCTGCGCTTGTGTTCGCGAGACCCATGTGCGTTGCGTCGGGCCTCCGAATTATCGAGTGGTTTTAACGTACCTAATACTCACACTTCGAGTGACGGCTTTCCGCGTGAGGCACGTCCTCGCGATTCCCGCTGGAATCGTCGGAGTCAGTTTACTTTCTCCGTCAATAAACTAACCAGGGCTCGTGTCTCAATGTTTGGGCTCTATAGCCGTGAGACCTGTCCTTGGGAGCTGACCTTTTGGCCTCCTGGCGAGGGTGGTTTTGCCCGTCCGATTGGTTGAGAGTGCATCGGGGCCTGTACCCAATGTGTTTTATAACTATATATAGACTCGGATTAAACGGGACAGGTTTCGGCGCACTGTCATAACCCCCTACCATATCGGACACCGGACGCCGAGGCGTCCGTCTTTGTAACTGCTTAACTTTGTAAGCCGTGCGCGGCAGGAAGTTAATCTTTAATATTTTTCCTGTCTTCATGTGATTGTTTTAAGCAGCAGTAAAGTTTATTTCTATCTGTTGTATTTATTACACCTCCGAGCCCGTTAACTTGCCGCCGTCAACTAGAAGAAGCAAAAAGTCTTCAACGCCAACCAGCATCCGGGCCAGATCTTCCACGATCATCACCGATCCGCGACAGTAGACACCGTAGAAGGTGTCTATCGAGGCCCGAGACCGAAAACAATCTGATCTCTACTCTACCCCAAAACCCATTATAGCTTTTCGCTATCTGGATTATTGAACTGGAAATCTTAGGTGATTATGGATCTCAGGTTTTCTGAAGTTAATCATTTGTTTGAAATATGGATTTCAGGTTCCCAGAAACAATTCCAGATAGATTTCTAGTACCATAATCCAGGCAACAAAATTTTACATTGGGTTTTGCGGTAGGGTTGAAGTCCTCAGTCATGTCGATGTGATATCCCT